TAAAAATACAGATTATAAAACACAAAAATAAGCCAAACGAAACGACTAAACGGCGTCACGATAGCGCAGTGGGTAGAACGATTGCCTCACAGCAAGACCGTCATTGGTTCGAGCCTTGATTGGGTCAGTTGGCATTTCTGTGTGGAGTTTGCATGTTCTCCCTGTGTTGGTTTCCTCCGGCTGCTCTGGTTTCACCCACAGTCCAAACACATGTGGAATAGGTGAATTGAATACGCTAAATTGTCCGTAGTGAATGTGTGTGAGTGCAAGAGTGTATGGGTGTTTCCCAGCAATTGAGTTGTATCCACTGCGTAAAAGATATGGTGGATAAGTTGGAGATTCATTGCTGTGGCGACCCTGATTAGTAAATGGACTGAATGAATGAATGAATGAATGAATGAATGAATGAGAAACATTTCAAAATGAAGCAGAAAAGACTATTAAAATAATATTTAAAAATAGAATAGTTTATAAATAGTTTTTAAAATAGAAAGAGAGATTTGTATCGTGAAATAAAGTGTGGTAAATCAAATTTCTTCATGTAACAGCCAAAAAGCTTTTTTTTTCATTAAAAATGTTGAAAGCTATTTAATACATCTGTGAAAAAAAGTGATACTTTTTAAAAGATTTGAACAGCAGAACAGCATATATATCTCTGAAAAGGATTTGTTATACATTAATAACTGTCACTTTAAATTAATCTAATGGATATTTCCAGAATGAAATCATTTCTGTAAAAACAAAGCAACCCCAACATTTTGAGAAATATTGTATGTGTAACATATGTTGAAGTTTAAACATAACCACTGCAATTATGTGGACAATTTATATAAATTGCCCTATACAATGAGCACAATAATAAATCAGTCCTAAGGGCCCCATAAATACATCTAAATTTTTTAAGAAACCAAAAATAAGAACTGCACCTCTGCTAGAGTAATTTTCCTTTAAAATATGATACCGATGAATACAGATGTAGCTAGGACAAAAAAGGTTACAAAACCTCAAAAGGAATTTGATAATATGTGCACAGAAAACAAAGATGTATGTAGGAGAAGAGGAAAAAAAAACAATACAAATGAAAAACACAGCCCACTAAAACCCAAAGATCAGAAGGGTTCAAGGAATTTCAAGAAATGGCAGTAATGTGTCTCCCAGGAGCAGTGTTTTTCTGAACACAGGGGTTTTCTCACAGTAAAACCAAGTACTGACACAAAACAGAATAACACTTAAAAGAGTCCAAAAAGCCATGTCTTGTTGAAGTGGCTTTAAAATAACTATGATTTGACAGAGACACAGTTAAATGAGAGCCTACATTGACTGCAGCCTGCCAGACAATAAATCAACTTAATCTCTTTGGAAAAAAGACTCCAAATCTCAATACAGAAAACTGGGCAATCATTTGTGAACAATCTAAAAGGGAACGTTTGGGGAAAAAGAGATAAATATCGTAATTTATTCACCATCCACTCGTTCCAGTATCTTTCTTCCGCTGACCAAAAAAGGTTGATTGTTGATGGTAACATTTGACTATAGTATTTTTGTTACTATGGGAGCCAGTGGTTACCATCAACTGTCTAGCAATCAGCATTCTTCAAAATATCCTTTTGTATTTACTAAAAGACATAATCATACAGGTTTAAAGCAACTTGGGAGTGATAAGATGATTTTGTGATGGTGAACAATATGACTTTTTAAAAGAACACTCCATTTTTACTTAACATTATGCAAATTTTACAAGACACCTATTTCAACAGTTGATTTTTACAATTTATTTGATCCATTTAGCTGAGATCTAAGTCTGGGAGGGCGATTACAACTTCTAACACACAATTAAACACATATTTTGCAAACCACACAAAACAGGGCAACAATTTTAATTACACTTACATTTTATGATGCGAAGGAAGAAGAAACTGGTTCAACAGTTACTGATAAAGACCGACAAAGTCCCATACATAACAGCAGGGGCGATTTTAGTATTTTTTTATTTTAGGAGTGCTTAACTCCTTCTAACCTAAATATATATATATATATATATATATATATAATATATATATATATAAAGCCTAATATTAATAAGTTAATATTAAGCCTAATATTTACAAGTATAATACTAATACATATAAAAATGTTTGTTTAATATGGGTTGTATACTAGTATTCAACTGTATTATATAGACAGGCATAGCCATTCTGAATAAGCCAAATAGGCTCAACCCACCTGTTTATTGTAGTAAAAAACTTTCTATATTGTGCATAAGTGCATTTATTGTTTCCATGTATTAGAAAAATAAATTGCCACTTTTCTAATTAAATGGCATACATATATATAATATATACTTACATATATATTTTAACTTACAGGCTAGTTCACAGGCTACAGGCTACAGCCCCCCTAAAATAGGCCTAACAACGCCCATGCATAACAGTCTTTGTTCCTCCTTCATTTAATAGCCAACGGCTGACGCGTAGGTCGCGTAGGTAATTGTATCAAAAATTTGAAAACTGACAGGACCAAACACAGTACACGGTTAGCTATACAGTGGTGTTGTTGTGAAAATGAACTTTAACCCTTTTTTCCCCGCAGCGGAATCATCATCTTTCAAGGCATTTATTCATGATATGATCAGTCCCGCGATCCTGTTAATGTCTGAAGTCAAATGCGCTTTCACGTTTTACCAGATCTGTAACTACATATTTGGTGATATACCATATCGTCGCCAACGCTTTCAAGAAAAGATCTAAACCCGACTTGATTCATTTATTCGACTTTGAGTCGACTATTTAGTTAAAAAATCAGCTTTTTTCAAAATGGTGCACTTTCACTGTGCACTTTCATCCTCAGCTGGATGTTTTCATTCACTTAGTGCTGTGTTACACGCTGCATGGAAGCTCATTTTCAAATACGCAGAATAGGGGCTCTTTAAATAAAAATAAACAAATCTAAATGCTTTTGAGAGAGAGAGAGAGAGAGAGAGAGAGATGCTAATGTTTTAGTTCATTGATTTATGCTAAGCTAAACTAAAAATGCTCTCAACAGACCTGAAGTAGGGCTCAATGGATTAAAAAAAAAAGTGAAAACTCCAGGCGACAGGTAAAAAAAAGTAGTGTTTCTTTAGGGCTTCTTACAGCCTCAACCCTCTTTGAAATTGCATTCAGTTTTGTAAGAGTCCTGTGCAACTACACTGTGGCATTGATCACATGGCCTCCATCTCCATCCAGACCAATTCAGATTAATTTTTCAGCTGCTCCAGTGCAGCCGTTTTTTAGTGTATCAACAGAGCAGAGACCCATCTGCCTCTGCCCTACTTCTGCAGCATTGTGCGTGACACCGCAACCATTTAAAGTGCCGTTTTTTCGCTAGCGACTCCTTCACCATTTTCAGCTGTCTCATTCCATTTTTCATTCATCCCTTAATTTGCGATGCAGCTCTTTTTCTGAGCCTGTGACTTTTCCCTCGCCGTGTGCATTATTCACAGTTTCTCAGAACTTTCAACACCCAGAAGGCCCAAACCTGACTCCTCCATTTCCATATTTTCTACTTACAGACTTCTGTTTTACCATTTCAAACACGTCATACTGAGAATACCAATTTGGACCCTAATGCAAGACCTGCAGTCCAGAGGCAGCTGGAAAACAGTTTAAGGTTGAGATATGGGGTCTCTGAAGACCACCAGCCCAGGGCAAACCTGAATGGATGTATTAATGGAGTGGTGGACCTGTGCATTTGAAAGCAGATCTGAGGCTGCTGAACAAACAGTCCAGCTATTTTTATGTTATTCCATTATTATATGCTGGACAGTCCCTTTAAAAAGCTTTGGTTCCATGTAATGGGTGTCAAAGGTGAACAATTTACATTACCAACGTTCTTCAAAATATCTTCCACGTTCAACAGAAGTGGAATAAAGTGTGTTTGTGTGTGTGTGTGTGTGTGTGTGTGTGTGTGTGTGTGTGTGTGTGTGTGTGTGTGTGTCAACTGGCTGACAAAAGTGTTGAAACAACAAAATATTTAAGCAACCTTTGTCTTTTATTCAGAGGTAGCTAGAAAAATAAAAATACTGATAGATTTGCCATATTTGGAAGTAAAGATCCTTATCATTTTACAATGAAGGATAATTCTGTAAGCAATAAACCGACATGCCTTAATGTCCTGGATGGCATTTCATTCAATGTTTTGTCTTAGTTGCCTTCTTTTTTTGCCATTGGTTTATTTTAAACCTGTTGTTTAATTAACGTTCATTTTATATTTACATTTATTACCATTGACGGTGCTTTGTGTTTGTGTGTCACTGTGTGCAATGTCTATATAATAATTTCCAAATTAATTCATTTATTTTACATTAATATTTAATAAAACAAATTTGTAATTTTTTTTAATTCATTCATTCTTTCATTCATTCATTTTCTTTTCAGCTTAGACCCTTTATTAATCAGGGGTAGCCACAGCAGAATGAACCGCCAACTTATCCAGCATATGTTTTATGCAGCGAATGCCCTTCCAGCCACAAGTATGCTATTCTTATTATATAATTTATATGTTAGTTACATGGCCTTGCTAATTCAGCTGAAGCAGGCTGCTGGATTTGGGCCCCGCATAAATTAAAGGTTTAATTGTCAAATACAAGATGTACTAAAAATATGTTTACACATTTTCTTACTGTATTCTCTTATGCTTACCGATGTTTACAATGTTTTTCTTTATTTTGTAATTTCCAATAAATGTGTAAAGTTGTTAGTTGTGATTGAGCTTAATACAAGTAAAAATGCTTAAACTAAAGTTTACTTTAATAGAAGTTCACTTAATAGAGAATTTTGAATAACTTTTGAAATCTTCTATGGATATTTCTGAAATAAGACCAAATTAAAAAATGATGAGACTTCACTGGGATGCATTTTCAGCAGAAACAATGGCAGACAGCAAAACCAAAAGTCATATTTCAATTTTAAGGCCAAAGTGTGTGTTTATATGTGTCTGCGGCGATGTGGTAATGTACTCACAAGAACCCACGTCTCCTTGCAGCTGGAGGATTTGGGGAACTGGCATGGTTAAAACCACTACGTCAAACCGCTCTGGAGCTCCTTCTTTGCGACACACTTCCCAGCCAGTGTCTTTCCGGTGAATGTGAGTGACGTGTCGGTTGTAGAAAACCTCTGCTCCTGCTTGAGTGCGGAAGGGCACAGTTGGCAATGTTGCACAAGGAGCAAAAAAAGAGACAAAAAACAGAGAGAAACAGAAAAGAATATATAAAAGTCAAGCAGAAAGAAAAGAATTATTGAGAAGTCAAGATTTAGTTTAGGCGCATGCAAAGAGCTTTAATGAATTACTCATTTTAGAAAAAAAAGGCATATTTTGAAAAGAATAAACAAACCAAACAATTGCATAAAAAATCCATCAGAATTAGCTTACAATGTGTACAATGTATTTTTAAATCGCTTAAAAGAACAGTTTCCCCATAATTAACTCACCCACAAGCCATCATTGATGTAGTTTTATGACTTCTTTCCTGTCAAACGAACACAGTCTGAGTAGTTTTAAATTTTGTCCTGGCACTTCCATGTTGTATAATGGTGTTAGCTAGTGACTTTTATTATTAAGCTTCCAGAAATGTATAATTCATTCTTTAATTTTCTTTTCGGCTTAGTCTCTTCATTAATCTGGGGTCACCACAGCGGAATGAACTAACAACTTATCCAGCATATGTTTTACGCAGCGGATGCCCTTCCAGCTGCAACCCATCAATGGGAAACATCCATACACTTTCATTCACACACAAACACTACAGACAATTTAGCCAACCCAATTTACCTATAACGCATGGCTTTGGACTTCTGGGGGAAACCAGAGCACCCGAAGGAAACCCACGCCAACATGCAAACTCCACACAGCACCATATATCAATATACAATGCAATACTTTCTCCATTTGCATTTGTACACAGCACCTTATAACCTGTATATTTATAACAAACCTGTACATACAATTCAAAATCCAGATTTTTTGACTAACTGCATCTCGGTTTAATGTTTATGGTATTTCTTTTTTCCATATTTATTTTGTGTTGTCAGTTGTCACTTTATGTACACTGGTAGCTTCTGTAGACAAAACAAATTCCTTGTGTGTGTGAAGCACACTTGGCAATAACTCTGATTCTGATTCTGAGATAACGCACCATGTCATAAAGCGTGAATCATTTCAGACTGTTTTCTTGAATATGACAATGAGTTCACTGCACTCAAATTGCCTATACAATCACCAGATCTCAATTCAATAGAGCACCTTTGGGAGGTGGTGGAACAAGAAATGCGTATCATGGATGTGCAGTCGACAAATCTGCAGCAACTGTGTGATGCTTTCATGTGAATATGGACCAGAATCTCTGAGGAATATTTCTAGTACCTTGTTAAATCTATGTCATGAAGAATTAAGGCAGTTCTGAAGGCAAAAGGTCCAAGGGTCCAACCAGGTACTAGTAATGTCTACCTAATAAAGTGGCCAGTGAGTGTAAATCAAATAAGTTAGTCGCACAAAAACTGCATTCGGTCACCAATTGGGGTTTAAAATTTAGTTTTTTCTGTTACAAAAAACAAACGGTGCATTTAAAAGTTCATATTTCCCTACTAGTATATTAAAGGGCACCTTAGGTGAAAAATCTACTTTTCAAGCTGTTTGGACATACATGTCTGTAAGAATAGTGTATATTTTGTCATATTGGGGTGAAATAAAAACACCCAGTCCATTTTTAAAAATCGAACAACATAAAAACGGGGGACCAAAAGGAGCGGTTTTTTAGATGGACTGCAACTTTACGTAGGAGTGCGGTCCCCCCGCCCACCAATATTGATTGACAGCTGCGCACATTAACATGTCTCCGTAGTAATGCATAAAATCATATTGACAAGAGAGGACGAGCGCAAAGCAACCGGGATTAAAAGGTCTGTTCAGTTTGCTAGGATCATTAATCATCATCAGACGTGATCAAGAGTGAGTTTTACAAGTTTAACATGTTTTAAAACGTGTGCACGTGTGTAATGAAGTACAGCCATTCACTTCAGATTCACTTCATTAGCACAGCCGCGTGTCTCTCTCACTGTCTCTCTGTGTGTGTGTCTGCGCTACGTGTCTGTGGTATGTGTGTGTGTGTGTCTATGCCAGGGGTCGGCAACCCAAAATGTTGAAAGAGCCATACTGGACCAAAAAAAAACAAAAACAAATATGTCTGGAGCCGCAAAAAATTAAAAGCCTTATATAAGCCTTATAATGAAGGCAACACATGCTGTATGTATTTATATTAGCTATATTAGCCTACTATAAAAATTATTTAGTTGGCTACAAATACATACTGAGCCTTCATGATTGATGTTTTTTTTTTCCCTGCAGTGCATCCTGTAGAGAATGACGCACCACGTGACTACTCTGTTGTACGATGCCGTCTCAAGTTTAACTTAATTACAATATTAATGCATTATGTTTAATGTTCGAGTTTAACTTCATTACAATATTAATGAATTATGTTTAATGTTAAAGTTTAACTTCATTGCAATATCAATGAATTATGTTTAATGTTCAAGTTTAACTTAAATTAAATTAATGCATCATGTTTTGCTTTGATGAAATTAAAGAAATGCAGTAAAAAAAATCAGATTTTTGATGTTTTTTATTTTGAGAATTCCAAAAAACCACATCAAAATGAACGTGCATAACGTGCCCCTTACTGGGAATGTGCTCAACAAGGAAGGGTCAATCTCCAGGGGTGTGTGACAAGGAAAGACAGTCTCATTTTTTCCTTTCGCCACTTGCAAAATCTGCTCCCAAATGCAGTTTGCATATCAACGATCGCACCTTGTAAATAATCACTGTTGAGTGAGTGATCGGGATGGGCTTCTTTGAATTCTCTCAGGGAGGGAAAATGAGAGAGCGTGCCCCGCTGTACATCTTTGGCAAAGACAGCTTACGCTCCATGGCGCATCACACAGCCGCCGGATTGTTTACAACAGCCACCTGCCTATTCCGTGTGTCGCAGGCTATGACGCAAATCTTCGTTGACAGAAATGTTGAAAATAAATATTCTACACACTTTTACAGTATTAGAAAACGTTAAGATTGTTTGTCCTCCTATAGAAACCATATTAAAACAAAAATATATTTACCTCCCCCATCTTTTTCCGTTTTCAAACATTTTTTGAAAAAGCTCCAGGGAGCCACTGGGGCAGCGCTAAAGAGCCACATGCGGCTCTAGAGCCGCGGGTTGCCGACCCCTGGTCTATGCTATGTATGTGCGTGTGTGTCTGCGCTACGTGTCTGTGCTATGTGTGTGTGTGTGTGTGTGTGTGTGTCTGCATGTCTACGCTATGTATGTGCGTGTGTGTCTGCGCTACATGTCTGTGCTATGTGTGTGTGTGTGTCTGCCTGTCAACGCTATGTATGTGCGTGTGTGTCTGCGCTACGTGTCTGTGCTATGTGTGTGTGTGTGTCGGCCTGTCTACGCTATGTACGTGCGTGTGTGTCTGTGCTATGTATGTGTGTGTGTGTATGTGTTTGCATGTCTGCGCTGTGTGTGCGTGAACTCATTTTTGCAACTCCTTAAAAAATGCATCATATACTGATTGGTAAATTTCTTACTGTTGTATTTCTCACAAACGTTACGTGAGATCTGCTTCCTGAGGCAGCCGTGGCAACGATTGAGGCATGTTGCTGACAGGCACGTGGGAACAGTGGGCGGGGATGACTCGCCTTAAAGGCCCAGTGCAAAGAAACAGCAACAACCTTTACCCAGCTATAATACAGACACTTCAAACTGCTATAATAAATACTCTGATGGGTTTTTTGAGCTGAAACTTTACAGAAACATTCTGGGGACACAAAAGACTTATAATAAATATGAAAAAAGGGGTAACCTATGTGCCCTTTAAAATCGCTAAGAGATAATATAATATTCGAAAAACAGAGGGCGAGAAGTACCCGGATGACCTACTACTTCTGACGAGATCCAACAGATGCTACACTATCCCATGATGCCATAGGAGATATTTCATGAATGGGAGTGAAGCCATGCAACTGATACAGGTAGGTCACAATGACAAAAATGGCAAATTCAGTATATCCGAATTCTATTCACATTACTCATATTCATACAATTCACACAAACATACTTTTCTAACGGTCATGTACTGTAGTATATTCAAATTCTAATGTAGTACCTACTCAAGTATAAAGCGATTTCAGACACAGCCATAGATCCACCTCATATGACATACGCTAATCCCATGGCAGCATACGAGTTAATTTTATGATCAATTTCTGCATGTTTGGAAACGTCAAAATAAAAGCCACTATCCAACAGTTTGATGTAGCATGGAGTCAGGAAAAAAAAAATGCAAAACTAATCAAACTGTTTGTCTGACAAAAAAAGTAATATACTGTACATGAGGATGGCTTGAGGGTAAGTACATTATGGGGTAATTTAGATTTTTGGGTGAACTATTCTTTTAAGGTGACAGAACAATGCTGAGAGCAGGATATGTAATGAACACCAGAGAAAAGGTTAAAAATAGAGTGTAAATACACACAATTCACTTTTCACTAAAATCCCTTAATGCTTTGCTGATGTTTGAAGAACTGTTGTTTCCCAATGTTGCTCCACACATTAAAGCAGTTCCATCTGACTGCTGCTTTTGTTCTGTGTTCCAGCACATGCAAAACATCAAAACATCCTGAACTGTTTCTGAAGTCTCAGTCAGATTATTGACTAAGAGCCGTGATCTTTGAGTTCATAAATCAGCTTGAAATCAGCCTGGCCAAATTCTTCTGCGGTCTCTCTAGGAACCAAGAAAGATTTCTAGAAAGGTAAGACTAAGGAGGAACAACAACAGCTGGACGACTCGGGTCTTGCTGACCCAAAAATAATTTTTGGCAGCACATTTCTGTCCTTAAACAGCTGATGAAAAACAGCTGCTTTATGAACAGCGATAAAATCGATTATTAAATCTTGCTTCTATGACTTTGTAAATATATAAAAAGCATTACACTGTTAAATTTCTCTCTTAAAAAAAATACTTTAAGGCAACAATGGACTTTATTTTTGCACTGTTATTACACGTCTTTATTAAAATGGAGATATTTATATTGTAATTACTCTTTTAACTACTTTTAATAAAATAAAGTGCCTGGTGCTTCTAAAGAAAAACTGTTTGCATGGCTTTAAAGACTCTTACTCTTATGCTCACAAAGGCTCCATTTATTTGATTAAACAGAAAAATTATTTTTTAATTTGTTTTTGTAGTGTTTAGTTTTTTAAACCGTATGTTCTGCTTACACTTCAACTCTATTCAAGTTCTAGTTTTTAATACATTTCGATTTTATTGTTAAGCTCTAGTTATTTTAGTTTTAAATTACACTACATAAACATTTTAAATGTTTCCCTCCCTTGTTGTTTGCCTTGCCCTATTTTATTCTCCATAGTTAATTGAAAGAAGACATTTAATTCTTTTACAATTATTATTGAGAATTTTCCATATTTTTTTCCATACAGTAAATGAAACCACGTACAAGAACAGTTAGCCTAATCTTATTAAAAATAACATACAGTTGAAGTCAGAATTATTAGCCCCCTTTTATAAGGCATGAAAAGACCTTTCTTTATATTAGGTCACAAAACTGGATGAAGTTGAGTTAATAAAGCATACTATATATATTATATTAGTATATGCCTGAATCACAATATATAAATGTTGATTTGAATAGTTTATTAATCATTTACTAACTCATTCTGATTTTTTTTAAAAACCCCAACTCTTCTTAAATAAAAATGATTTTTAAATGTAATAATTAAGTCATGAAAAATTAATCAGTAACAAATTATGAAAGTCAAGAATAGAGCATTTGTACCTGCCATTATATATTGCTTGTTAACGTCTATTAATAAAGAGTCAATGATTAACAAATAATGAATTCACTATTTGCTAATGCTTAATAGATGATTCACAGTGTGTAGTTGGTACAAAGTGTTACCATGTGGGTGGAATTTATTTTTAAACATTTTCAACTTCTTTAAACAAAAATAATATTTTTGTGATGATACTGGTAACTTGTGATTTTTGGTCACTATTGACCTTTCGCGATTGTTTTAGAACATCCGTTTCAGTCGCCTATGGGAGAAATCACTAGGAATAATAAACGGCAGAAAACGGTCAAACTACTTGCTCTACAAACAAATATTTGCATGACTATACAGACCAAGTAGAATAATATAATAAGAGAATATCAGTTTGCAACATCAAACAACAAACGAGGAGTTTCAAAAAGATTCAAATGGCTGTGCCCGCTCGTCAGCTAAGAATAAGGTGAATAAGGCCCGATCCAAATCATATGTCATTGCGATCTCTTGCTTCATACAGTATGAGATTAGGCGTTCGTGACTGCTGTAGTTATTCCAGTTGTGTTATTTTTTGGTATTTATTTTCAGGAAATCACTGAAGGCATATATTAGGTTATCATAACGATCTACCGTGGCAATAAGATCGTAACTGTACTTTGCATTTAACACAGTGGCCATATTCATCTATATAAACACACAAAACAACATTAACATTATAGCAGACACTGTAAAAAGCTCATTCTCAGCCATTATACAATTTTGACAGGGTATTCGAGTGTCATTGAGTGTCAAAAATGTTGTAGGAGTGTTGTACAGGAGTTATTATTATAGATCGCAAAATTTAGGGGTTTTTATTTTAGCGTTTTTTTTTTTTATTTTTTAAGCATGACGGTAAAACATGAATGCAGTTATGAATATATTAAAACATATATTTGTTTGTTCTAATACTAACACTAATTTGTGGATCTCATTACTTCTGGGTGTAGCTGTAGTTGTGGCTGGTGTATTCTGGGAAATTTTCTTTAACCTTGGTTTCGAGTGTGGTCCAGAAAATTCTTCATTCGAACGGGTATCTACCCCTTCCCCTTAGCCCTATGGCTTCAAGCTAAAAAGAATTGGGACACCCCTACCCCTTCATGGGAATGCGCAAACTGAAAGGTAGTGGTAAGGGGAAGGGCTAAGCGGTAGAATTGGGATTGGGCCTAATCGTGATATTTAGTACACTGAAGCAACGGATTCTTTGGTACCTTGAAATTATGGATTCAGGAAACACCATATCGCTGAACTATGTTTGTAACAACAAAACTTGCTACAGTATCTTACAGTAGTTGGTTAGTGAAACAGAAAAAAGTTTTGGGAAAAAGAAGAAGTCAAATGACCTACAGTACAGTGTATACCTGACTCTTTGAGATAGTGTTTGACGATGGAGGAGACCCCATGAGGTGTCACATAGTTCACCATTCCTTCTTCCTTTACCATCAGGCCTTCAACAGGAGCACTGAGGGGTTTTAAAATGTCTTGCGCTAGGAGTTCTTCATAAAAGCTGGAAATACAAGAAAATGCATTAGTTACAACAAGAAAAAAAAAACTATTTTCACATAATCTAATAAATAAATTAAATAAATAAATAAATAAATAAATAAATAAATAAATAAATAAATAAAAGCAAGAAGTAGCCCACCTGCTGTGAATTTGAGCATAGTACTGTGTGGCACTGATGTATTGAGCTCCAAGATCAACCGAGCAAGAAGGATTGTTTGGACTTCTGCTTGTGGACATTCTACCCCCTATAACATTAATGCAAAAACATCTTAATCCTACTCATAATATAATCATGATTTTTAGAAGTAGAGACAAATAAAACATCTGAAATGAAAACCTATTGTTATTAATAAAAATAAGATTGATTACATCACAATTGCACAAACGTATTCATAAAGGTGCTTTAGGAAGACAGTAACAACAAAACTGATAAATTTATTATGTGTGTACCATATATGGTGTCATCATTTACTCTCCCTTCACTTCCAAACTTGTTTCTTTCTTTTGTTGAACACTATAGAAGATATTTAAAAGAAAGCTGAAAAGCTGTAACCTCTGACTAGTGTTTGTTTATCCTACTGTGGTTTTCAATAGTTACAGATTTTCAGCTTTCTTCAAAATATTTCCTTTTGTGTTCAAACAGAAGAAATAAACCACATGAGGGTAAGTAAATAGTGAGTAAATGTTCATTTTTCTGGGACATTTTCAGCATTGGGATTTTTTAACTAGAACAAATACTTTTACTTCGTCAAGCCTTTGCAGGAAAGCTGAATTTCTGAAGTCAGGCAGATTTATGTTACACTCTCAAAAAAAAAATGTTAAAGTCTTGTACAAAAGAAGGTACAAACTATTAGGGGAGTATCTTTTTGTGGAACAGAATTGTACCTTAAGACAAAGAAACTAATTTGTACTATTGCAGTTTGTACCTTTAATGACATTATTTGTACCATGAGAAATCAAAATGTACCTTTATTTAACATTTACCTTTTTAAAACTTGCATGTACAATATTGTACCTTCATCAAAGGAACAAATCTGATCCATGAAGGTACCATTACAATGACAAGACACTTTGTACCTTAACAGTGTCAAATGTGTTCCTTCAAGAACCAACTAAAGGCATTTTTCTACATCCAAAACGCGCCAATTCATTTTCGATAAATAAAAAACAATGAAAACATTTTTAACAATACGTTTTTTTTTAAAGCTTCTTTTTGTGTAAAAACACCATTTCCATTTACAATAAAGAATAAAAAAAATACTTTAACATAAATCAAAAGAGGCGAGGCAGTAGACAGTAGGTAGTGCTGTCGCCTCACAGCAAGAAGGTCACTAGTTCGAACCTCGGCTCAGTTGGTGTTTCTGTGTGGAGTTTGCATGTTCTCCCTGCCTTCGCGTGGGTTTCCTCCGGGTGCTCCGGTTTCCCCCACAGTCTAAAGACATGCGGTACAGGTGAATTGGGTAGGCTAAATTGTCCGTAGTGTATGAGTGTGAATGTGTGTGTGTGAATGTTTCCCAGAGATGGGTTGCAGCTGGAAGGGCATCCGCTGCGTAAAAAACGTGCTGGATAAGTTTGCGGTTCATTCCGCTGTGGCGACCCCAAATTAATAAAGGTACTAAGCCGACAAGAAAATGAATGAATGAATGAATAAAAAGCCTTGTCTGAAAATGTTTAACATTTAAACCCTTGGACATTTAGATGAAAAAAGAATCATACTTAATTAAATAAAATTAGCTACATTCATTTTACAAAGTACCTCAACTACAAATACAATTATATTTTAAATAGGATTGATTGTCATCTTTAACCTACATATCCAAAGTTTTTTTTTTTTTTCTTAATTCACCAACCCCATTCAATCCACCGTGTTATTTGATGTGGGCGTGACCTGTCAAAGGGCAAAGTTTAAACTTCACGATCAGGTTTTTCATCATTGTACGTTGGTTGAAATACAGTGACGAACTGCCCAATTTGGGCTTTCATGCAAAAGTGCATATTACGAAAATATAGGGTATAATAAAATGTAGTTACGTCATATTTGCCCATTTTCTACTCATGTTTATAAGGTCACCAGCGTGGTTAACCTTAATGAATGAAAGTTGGCTGCATACAGCTGATCCAAAGATTAAAACTCACGAGACGTACACCACTCTATAAGTGTTTTAAATCAGCATATAAAAAAGCATTATGTGTGTCAAAATAGATAAGATGCTAACCTGCACCGCGAGATTTGTCCCACACGACTATATTAACTTTGTTTGGCAGTTCCCTCCTCAGCAGACAGGCACATAAACTACCTGTGAGTCCAGCCCCAACTATAAGAACTCGGGACATTTTTAGAAAATGTGAATAAACAACTGTTTGAGGTAGAAAAGCAAAGCGTTCGCGCTTGTCTGAAGATCTTACACGATTTATTGTACTGTCCCTTTAAGTATTATGAAAGCCTGAAGTGTTTTTTGTTGGCCAACCAAAGCATAACCCTTGGTTATTTCATATTTGAGTGATACATATGCAGAATAGCCAAGCATCAGATAATAAACATAATAAAGCGTTATGCCTGTTTTATATCTACATTAAAAATAACATCACCATCTTCATTTGTTAATAAGCAATACTTATAATAAATTCAAATTATTTTCAATCGTAGGGGACACAAGTAATCAATGAAGCAAAAGCACAGTTTATTTCATTTAATTTTATTAAAAGACGACCTTTTGCAGTAACTAGTAAAGACGTCAATTTGATAAATAATATGGATTGCTTTACTTCGCTTGCTTCCTTAAAATCGAAAAAGAAGCAGCCAAATGCATGAATCTTCTTCAGGAATCGAGGTTGATTGATTAAAGGCGTTTTTAAAACAGTGATCAAGCCATGATGTCACTGTCAGCTGATGCTAAAGCATTTTGATCGCCGTCAGTGTGGTCAGGACTCACGCTTCACACATTTTAGGTTGCTGAGAGCTTAACCAAAGTTGTTGGGTAAGTTAAGTGTTTTTCGTATTGCATGTGTAGGACCTTATTAACGAACGAGGTATCAGATAGTTGGTTTCGAACAGTTTAAAACGAATTGTTTGTGCTGTACAGAATGAAGTTGTATAGTGGTCAGTAATCAATACATTTGCCATGAACGACTTATGAAGTGCGCGAACTTACCATGTCACTTAATGTGATTTAACCGCGTTGTTTGCGCAGTGCGAATTCTCGTGCTTTCGTAACACATGTTGTTATTCTAAAAGTACCTGTCATTTAAACATGTACTAAATTCCCAAGGTTACTTAATGACTTATGAAGAATTTTTATCACATTTTAATTATCATGTATTCCATAAAAATTTGCATGGGTCTTTGCTGCTATTCCCTTATGTATTGTCTCACTATGTAAAAGTTACTCATATTCAGGAAATATTTCTTTGTTACACCCTAAAGATATACTGTGTGGGAAAATTTGTATTTCTTTTCACCAAAATAAGGCCGTATACGTTCCTTATTTCAATCACCCATAATTAGTAAACCCTACATAATTTCTTATTGGTCTGGGTTCATTAGAGATTTGATCTGGAAAAGGTATGGTCGTTGCCTAACAAATTCTTTAAGAGGAATAATTTCTAATAATTTTTTTAATTTCTAAAAACAAATTTAAAGAGGTCTCATTTAAAATCCTGCATAAATAATACCCTGTCAAACATTTTTTCCCCCCAAGTTTAGACAGAAAATAGATCAAAACTGTTTATTTTGTTTGTCACAGCCAAAAACTGCCGCATATGTTTTGGAATTGCCACTTCTCAAAGAAAATATGGTACGAGATGACCAATTTCATAAATTAAAAATTATTGCCAAGTTTTCATTTAGTATACCAACATGTTATTTTAGGGTTTTTGAAGTACAACAAAAAATAAAGAACGAAGCTTATGTTATTAATCTTTTGATAATATTTACAAAGTACCATATTTACAGATGCAAATTTATTAACCAAAAACCATTTTATCCTACTATACTAATTGAATTAAAACATTATACAAACAACATAAAGCAAAGCACTAATAAATAAGCCATCAAAACCGCTTTTTTACTGGAAACCTTTAAGATCTTGTAAATTCACAAGGCCCTTGTCTGTTAGTATGTGTACTTACACATTGTCTTATATATGTTTTGTTCTGTACACCCCTGCCATTTTTCATTTTTCGTTCCATCTTGCATTGTTCTAAAAGTCGTTCTTTAAGTAAAAAAAACTCATTTAAAACCATTCAGATGTGCTACTTGAATTACTTTTTCTTTGAGTGAACGCTGAGTTGTAAAATTAAACCTTACTTTATCGATATGATGCATAATTAAAGTGGACCCAAATACAATTTTCATTATGTCAGGATTGTTCACATTTAAGTAAATAAAAAGGTGAACATTTTCCAACCTGATATCATAAACCACTGTGTTTAGCAATAATAACTTTGACCGGTTATTTTGTCTGAGCAAACAAGGATTTTGCTGCACCTTGTGTTTTTTATGGTATGCTTACTTTAGAGTCAAAAGGTGCATATTGGGCAACATGTGAACTGATTGCTGCAAAAGATAACCATATAGCTTTTAAACTATTTTGTATAGTGTGTGTTGAGATATTCTGTATGTTTTTTTTTTTTCTGCATTCAACAGAAAGATGTCATGGCTGGTGTTGTCTTTGGTAATACTTACATCTGGACTGGTTCAGTATGGCCAGTCGGCTCTGGATGGGACAGGATTGGACCCCGAAGTTAACATGAACATTGTAAGTATATATAGCCTGTAATATGACACATTTAGGCAAATTGAGTGCTAACTTTATTATGCAATAAGTTCAGGTTTTGCCCTTTTGTGGCAAAATGTGTATCTCAAAAAAGGCAAAAAAAAAGGCGTATCTCAAAAAAGGCAAATAACAATGTCTGGATAACATTCAAACATGAGTTGAAAACTAACAAAAATAATCTATTTATATAGCAAAAGCGTATGTTCTGATAGTATGTAATGTATTTCGAATCACTATAACAGCTTAGCATACACTAAAAATTTATGTTTGCTGCTTGTTAAAACTACTTATTTAAAATGAGCAGAAACACAATTCGGATGCTACTATTCGGTGCCATTTTAGGGTAGTAGGTCTCTTAACTGTCTCTGAATTTTTTTTTACATTTTACAGGATTTTATCACTTCAGTTGAATGAGCACTTCTTAAACGACTGTGTAAGAAAAATATACTGGTCCAGCTCAGGATATTACGATTTAGCATTTTTTTCCGAATGTTCACATGTAACACGGGTCAAATGTCCCCCCCCCCGTTACTGAACATTCTTCTATCTTTTAAAAGGTGTTTAAAATAAATAGTTACTGTAATATTTACATTTTCTAAGAGCTTTCTAGTGAGCTGTCCCTCACTTTACCCTGCAATGGTATTTTTTAAAAGGTTTTACTAAACAAGATTTATTTAAAAAAAGACTTGTTATGATGTATGGCATGTTGTAAATTAAATGTATTACATTCAGTGTATATAATATATAAAATCTGTTTTTAAGTGACTTCATTTTGTCAGTTCTTCAGAAGTAACCAGAAAAACGAGTGTAATATATGTTGATTTTATTTAATTAACATGAAACAACTACATCGTTAACATGTTGGAATGGGCAGTAACTGGATGGACACAAAGTAACAGGGTGGACATTACAATAAGAACTAAGGCAACTTGTTTCAATGTTTCAATGTTACATCACATCAATTGTCAAAAAAACAAATAAAATACAAGCAACATGTTAAATTACATACAGATAGTACAGTAAAAATAGTAAAATACTAAAAGTTGCAAATAAAACTATTATTGTAAATTTAAAAAATAATTTTGGTTTGCACAATGTTTTGCACTGACAAAATCATGCACATTGTTTAAACTGATCTTCTTTGATTGTATAAAGTAGGTTAATAATAATGAATAGCAATACCATGGGTAAAAATGGGTAACAGAGTAGACGTGTTATGATTCACCACAACAGAAAACTACTCTGAAATGTTAAAAATAAAATAAGGTAAAAGAGTGAGACTAACTTTGCATCTTGTTGACAATTTCTCTCCCTAATTGTGAGAATTTCTGAAAATCACATGACTAGAGGAGCAATCAGTGGGCATTTTATGTCATCAAAGTAATAGTGGGTGGGGGGTGGCATTCATTTCTGGGACACGTTTATTTAAAGGTTTTACTAATAGGTTTTAATTATTTTTTAAAAAATATAGTATTTGGTGAGATTTATTATACATATAACAATACAAATTCAATAAAAAGTCTAATTATAGTTTTATAAGTTATATTTGTAACTGAACATGAGCATCCTGTACACCTGTGACATGGCAATTCAGCTACTTGCACTGAAATCAGAGTAAATATTTATAATGTAATTTAATTTTGAACACTTATCATTGTGTCCTGTTGTGTAAATGGGATACTCCTATCAGACAAGCTTTAAGGATTTTTAAATTGCATTTTTAAATATTCTGTGCCATAGAATGCTTTGGGGACACAAATGGCACCGAATAGTAGGAATGACCCATTCTTGAGATTAGTTTGTGACAACTTAATTGTTTTATGTTCACTCCATTTAAGTCTGTTGAATTAACTTAATGAATTTGTGTTGGGACAACATGAATGAATTGTGTGGAACCCTGCATTTTTTACAGTGTAACGTATTGTAGACTACCTACATGTACACCAAAATGCAATTTTCAATAGTCACTCCATATCTCCAAATAATACAGTATGATAGAATATATATATATATATATAATTTCTTTAATTTTATCAAATAGGCCCTGCTGTTAAAATGAATAGAAGACTTATGATACAATGCAATGACGATTAAGAGAGCACAAATAAACATTCCTCAAATACAAGTTCTTTAATTCCAGTATTTTTTGTTTTCAAATGTTACTAACAAGTTATTCAAGTTATTCACGAATTTACATTACTTAATAAAATCAAAAGACAAATGACGGATATTTTTGAAATTATACTAAAAGACTTTTTACTTGACAAAAAACCCTGTATATTATCAATCAGGTGATAGATCAAGTCACTTTTACTTTTGTTGTCACTTATTGTCACTTTTATCACTTTATACCAGAGATGCCCAAAGTAGCGGGCCAAAGTTGGCCCATGGTAATCTTTGATTTGGCCCACCATCCCATCTGAGAAAAGAGGGAGAATTTTGGGGGTAATGCCTTTAATACACATTGTAATTTGTAGTTGTAAACTCTTTGTTTGTTTTTTATTTTAATTTACAAAAATCACATGCTGTGAATGATTTCAATGTTCTTTTTTAAACATACTGTTGCTCAATGGATGGACCATAATTTAGGAGTCCTCGGTGAGCAAATCATGCCAAAGGCAGGTGCAGCTTGACTATTGTATTCGGCATTTAAAGGGCACCTATGGTAAAAAATCTACTTTTCAAGCTGTTTGGACAGATCTGTGTGTTGGTATAGTGTATAGATACTGGGGTGATATGAACACACCCAGTCCTTTTTTTTTTTCAATTTAACTACAAAAAAAGGGTCGGCCAATTGGAGCTTTTTTCAAATCGATCGCACCATTACGTAGGTGTGCGATCCCCCCGCCCACCGAATTGATTGACAGCTGCGCGCCTTAACATGTTCCGGTAGTCACGTGTATATGTCAACAAGACCAGGCAGACATACACAATGCAACCGGGAATAAAAGGTCTGTTCTGTTCGCTAGGATCAGCAATCATCATCAAATGTGATTAAGAGTAAGTTTCACATGTTTAAAGTGTTTTAAAACAGAGTATGTGTGTAATTAATTACAGCGTTTTACTTCAGCTTTATTTCATCAGCACAGCCTCGTGTCAGAACAATTATAAAAAAAGACGCTTCAATCCCGGTTTGTGGAAGTTAAATCAGGTTTATTTTGTACATTAGCATAACAGATATCCACACAGTACTTGAGGTTAGCCTTAACTAAGCTAAGCACGCTCTGTCTGTCTGCCTGCCTGCCTGCCTGCGTGTATGTGTGTGTGTCATCTGCGGTGTGCGTGTGTATCTGTGTGTGTGTGTGTGTGTGTGTGTGTGTTAACTTCGTAACAATGTTGTGTGTGACTCATCAATGCAACTTCACAATACTGATTAGTAAATATTAGTTCTTACTGTAGTATCTCACAAACGCTACGTGAGACCTTCTTCCTTTAAGTCTGTCTGTTGTCTGACGCAGCTGAGGGAGGAGGCATGTAGAAATAGTAGGCGGGAAAGACTCGTCTTAAAGGCGCAGTACGACAAAACCACCCCCTGCTGGAAATCAGTATAAAACAGCATCTTGTAAAAGGTATAATGAAAAATCTGATAGGTATTTTGATCTGAAACTTTATATACACATTCTAGAGGCGTAAAAGACTAATATTAAATCTGAAAAAGGGGTAACCTAGGTGCCCTTTAACTCCATTGTGTTATACATGAAATTTTTATGTTTTCGTTATAATGGGTTAATAATAAAAAAAGTAAAATATATATACAGTATAATGCATTAGTTAATATGATTAAAGTAATGTTTTCTATTTATTTTGAAATAATTGAGGAAATTATCCATGGCAACTTTGCAATACAGTTTGATATATTTACCTTCGGCCCACAGGCTTCAATCAAGTTTGGTTTTGTAAGAAAAAGTTTGGGCATCCCTGCTTTATACAAAGTACTGCATGTTTGTGTCAAAGCTGCTCTGCATGGCTGAACTAGAAAAGGATAAAAAGCCACCGCAATATTTCAGCTTGTGGAGTGTATTTCATATTTTAGCCTGGCAGCAGAGTTGTGGTAAATGCTGGTGTAGATCTAGTACGATTAGAAGAACTGATTTAGTTGTTCAGTACTAATGTCACTGTTGAAGGATGCTTCAGAGAAGATCGACTCCACCAACCCCAACCAAACAACCCAGAGACAACAGTGTCTAGAAATTAAAAGTCCATCAATTGATGGAAATGTAGATTTGGTGTTTCACAAAATGTTCTGTCAAGTTGTTATAATTTAGTAATATTAGGCTGACAATAATTACTTGGGGAAAAAAACTACCCTACTTAAGATATTTGCTGGCAAAATGCATATATTTATAAGACATAAAAATAATAAAAACTGTTCATCACAATCAACTTGCTGGCTTTATCATATGTCATTTCATATTACGCCTGTGCTGAACTTTGCACTATATTTGCAATATTATTTCCAGTTCCCTGTTTTGACATGTGTTCTAGAGAGAAGTGGATTCATTAGTTGACCATTTCTATAACGAATTGCAATTTGCACTTTGTCCTTTTGCTGTGGCTTTGGGAGCTACATTCAGAGCACATTATAATGTTATTACTGTAGCCTTTGGATCAAAAAGGGAAGAGAAACATTATTCATCAGTTATTAATTTTTTTTAATAATCAAGTTCAGCAGCTTTATGCATTTCTCACAGAAAAAAGGGGTATTGTACTTTAAGTGACATTAACGCACTTTCATACTGATGTGGTTGGATATGAATCAAGACTTCTTGGTTTAAATAATCCTATCCCATAATCATTGTTTGAAAATTTGCACAGGTCAGGAATTTATTTGCAGAAATGCTGATAAGAGAGTAAACTGTTAGTTTTAATGTAATAGCTGGGTTTTGTATGCTGTTTCACATATTTGCCTTAACAAGTAGATTATCAAACTGTAAAAATGCCTCACTTGGGCTGTGCTCAAAAGTACTTAAAATAAAATTGCCCAAAAATGAAAATTCTGTTTTAGGTTTCTTTTTTCCATTTAAAACAGAATAAGAAAAATACACTTTTCTATATATATTCATATTGCAGTGCCAACATCTTTCAAAATACATAAAGGACAAAAGCAATATATGTCAGCTACATTCAATGTCTTCTGAAAACATACAAAAGCCAAACAAAACTGCTTTTGTACTCCAAGGAAAACATAAAAACGTTTGTTAATTTGAGATGTTTTTTCTTAATTTAAAGTTACATTGTAACTGAATTTGAAACAGATTTGTGGTAGATTTGTAATTTGTAATAGATATTGTTACAAATTACAAAAGGGCAATTACTTGATTCTATTGGTTATGGAGGCAGATCTGAATGTGGGCTTACAGTTATTAATAAGAAATGGATGAACTTTAAGCAGATAAAATGACGGTATGATGACATTTGATATTGAACTTATGATATTTGTAAAATTTTTAAATTAGGAGGTCCAAAAAAATTAAGTGCATGCATGAATCATTCGCAATAAGATATATAACATGCATTTAAAAACAGGTCACATGAGTTTTTTAGACCCTCTAGCTGTCATCGCCCCACATGTGTGATATTTTTAAGTAAACATAAATATGACCTTATCTTGACATACTTATCTTATGCTTACTTTATATCATATATACTTTTAAGTGTATAGTTAAAATATGTTATAATAATGTTATTATAACATTATATGTTATAGTATGATATAAAAGTAACCTTAACTGGCATACTGAGGCATATACAGGGTGCGTCGTGGGACTAGGAGGGAGTGGGGGGGAGCCAGTTGGTGGTTAGCAAAAATTTTATAAATTTTATTTTAACTTATTAGAATTACCTAATTTTATTTATAACCTACAGAAAAAAACAGTCATAGTGGGGGTGGCTCAGTGGTTAGTGGTTTGCTGGGCCAGTTGGCATTTCTGTGTAGAGTTTGCATGTTCTCCCCATGTTCGTGTGGGTTTCCTCCAGGTGCTCTGGTTACTCCCACTGTCCAAAGAAATGCACTATAGGTCATTCATTCATTTTCTTGTCGGCTTAGTCTCTTTATTAATCCAGGTTCGCCACCGCGGAATGAACCGCCAACTTATTCAGCAAGTTTTTACGCAGCGGATGCCCTTCCAGCCGCAACCCATCTCTGGGAAATGCGCTATAGGTGAATTGGGTAAACAAAATTGGCAATAGTGAATGAGTGGTTGAATGAGTGTGTATGGGTGTTTCCCAGTACTGGGTTGCAGCTGGAAGTCGGCGGTTCATTCTGATTTGGCGACCCATGATAAATAAAAGGACTAAGTTGAAGGACACATACAAATAAATAGCCATAAGTCTTTCATTTGTTTTCTCCCTAGAATTGTGACCCCTGGGGTGTTCAGATTAATAAACCATCAGTTACAGCCAATTGATTTTATGGCATCAGGTCATTGTTTACAGCACTCATGTATATTAAAAATAAACACAGGCCATAACTGAACATGAAGTATGATCTTCTCGTGGCGGTCTCCAAAATTAAACCAAGAATATATTGTGCTGTAAATATTGTGCCAACCAGTCTCATTAGGCGAGGCTACACTCTAAAAAACATTGATTTATTTATTTAACCCTATGGTTGAGTTAAAAATATTTGGTGCTTCGTTGGGTTATTTTTAAGCTTTAGTGGGTTATTTATTAATAACTCAACCAGGAGTGCGATTTTGAAAACTATTGTTAGCCAATTAAGGTCGCAAGTTCTGTTGTTACAAACATAGTTCGTTAATTTGGCATTTCCCAAATCCATTGTTCCAACAAACATTCGCAAAATTGCACCGTAAACTTGAATGCTTGCAACAAAACCAAGAAACATAGTTCCTGGTTTTGTTCTATTCCTAGTCATCCCTTATGCCCAATTGGCCATATTTGGAATGATCTTTTTTAAAGCAATAAAGTCATCTCTCTCAGGTGTAATTTGCTTTCAAAGATTTAGCAATCTTCATGTTTACAATTGCGTTTTTTACATAGTGCACTTTGAAAACATTGATGTCATTTTGTACAAAGCCGTGGCTTGGACGAAAGCTATAGGCAACCTATTATTTAAAAGCGATGTGTTACGTCTCCAAAGCTTGTGAAAACAAAAAACGTAGCATACATTAATGATTTTAATTTATATTAGGTTATATGTTGAGTATTTGTACTGTATATGACATGGGTTTGAACTGGTTAGAAGTCATTTTCAAAAGTAATTTTCAAAGAGGCAGTGGCGCAGTAGGTATTGCTGTCGCCTCACAGCAAGAAGGTCGCTGAGTCGCTGGTTCGAACCTCGGCTCAGTTGCTGTTTCTGTGAGGAGTTTGCATGTTCTCCCTTCCTTCGTGTGGGTTTCCTCCGGGTGCTCCGGTTTCCCCCACAGTCCAAAGACATGCGGTACAGGTGAATAGGGTAGGCTAAATTGTCAGTAGTGTATGAGTGTGTGTGTAAATGTGTGTGTTGTTTTTTTCCAGAGATGGGTTGCGGCTGGAAGGGCATCCGCTGCGTAAAGACTTGCTGGATAAGTTGGCGGTTCATTCCGCTGTGGCGACCCCGGATTAATAAAATGACTAAGCCGACAAGAAAATGAATAAATGAATAATAATTTTCATCATCTTAATAATATTAATTTTATTATTAAAGTAGGATTCAGTTCCTAATAAATAATAAATATTACATTTCATTTTTTTAATGAACAGCCTCACTGTTTATTAAATTGATTTTTATACGAGATTAGAATACGGGTGTTAGATTTTGTAAGTGATTTTATGTTTTAAAATAGAATATGGAATGTTCTCAATAATATTTTTAGAGTAAACACAGGCTCTTTGTGTGGCATTTACATATATTTCAATTCATATGGAAAGCAAGTGCCATAAGCACTATATATATGTACATATATATAATTGCCATAGGTGCCATATGCATTAATATATATATATATATATATATATATATATATATATATGTGTGTGTGTGTGTGTGTATGTATGTATGTATGTGTGTGTGTATATATATATATATAAATGTGTGTGCATGCAATGTGTGTGCAAAACAATTTGCACTAATAAATTATGGGGTTCTTCTCTAAAGAAGTTGTTTCCACACCATACATCATTATGGTACGTTATGACTAATGTGGTTTAAATGATGGATCTGCGACAGAGAAACTACGATTTTTGGGAAACACTTGTCACTACATTGTTCTTTTGCCAAACAATGCATTGTACCATGATAGTTCAGCTGTGAGTTACGTCATTGCTTGGGAAAAGCACCCCAGTTGGGTTAAATATTGGGTGTTTTGTTGGGTTATTATTTAAACTTTATTGGGTTATTTATTTATTTACTCAACCAATTGGATTAAAAATTTTGAATTTCAACAGTCAAATGATTTAACTCACACAGAACAGCTGTATTTTTATGCGTATGTAATGGATTTTTTGCATTATAAAGTTTATTTAAGCTCTAATGCAATAATATTGTTGTTATTTTTATCAACTTCTCGTGTTTTTTATATCCGTTTCACCGGCACTTTTAATTATTGAAGAAACACGGGCTTCGAAGGGCTTTGAAAGGTTCTGAATTGGAAATGGCTGCTAACATTCTGCACATCACCAGACCTATTTCCTCTTGCTTTTCATTTTTCCAACACACACATATTTCTGCCTAAAATAGGACAAATACCCCATCTCAGACAGAAAGGGAAAGAAAGGCACATCCCCCCAGTGCTTACCCTCCCCGTAATGTGTGTTGAGCCAGCAGTGGGTTTATCCTTAAGTGGCCTAAAGTAGAATGAGCAGACAGAAGACCCAGGGGGAGTGGGAAATTGCATAGCCTTTAATTATGCATGGGGAGATTGCATGGCAGGCCTGGAACCATCAAGCTCACACGGCTTCTTTGAAGTCTCTGATTATAATTTATCTCATATCTTGAGGAGGAGGAGCAGTGTGATTCCATACAGCTACAATAATTGTGCTCTTGAAAAGACAAATGACTAAACTAAGAATTTAAGCTGAACTGGTGTTTTCTATTTTCATTATGTTTAAAAATGCTGCCACACTGATGACATTTCTGGTAGACCTTGAAAGTAATGTACAGTAGCTATTCTTTAAAATATTTCATAGAAACAGAACAATGCTAGTGCTAGTTTGAAGTGTTGTATTGTTTAAAGAGAGAATGACTCACTTGAGTGTTTTATGGAGTTTCAACTATCTCACATAGACGTGCGTTTTTAAAGATTTCTCCATGCTGTCATGATTCACATGGACTTTACTCGTGTTTATTGTTGTTTGTCTCTTGCAGAGTGAAATTATCAGACACTGGGGTTACCCTGCTGAAGAATTTGAGGTGGTCACTGAAGACGGATACATCCTGAGCATCAATCGAATCCCACATGGAGTCAAAAACAAAAATGAAGGTAAGGTAGAAGTTTAGCTTGAGTGGCTAAAGATTTGAACAAGCCCATTCAAGCTCCTCTTCTGCTTGCGTTAGCGTGAATTATTAAAGATGTTCTTTCTGTCCTTACGTGGCCGTGCGAAAGAGGAATCTCTGTAAGATGATCTCTGAATTCTCACCATTCACTGATTCGCTTTGCAGTCTTTATGAATTACACAATGAATGCACTGGGTGAGATGTCCGCATCTGAACCTTAACATCTTCACATGCCTTGGTTTTTAATAGTCACGTAGCAATTTTAAAAAAAGGGGAAAGAAGTGTTTTTTTTTTTTTTTCGATGAGTCAGTCCTCTGTGGAGAACAAGCTCCTGTAACAAGCTCATATAACGCAGCCCACGCTTGATGTCTTTGTTGGGCTTTCTTCTGATGAAATACACTTCTCGTGATGCTGTGGGTTTGACAGAAGATACTGTTCCTTAAATTCATTATGTAAGCTTATTTTGTTTTGCTTTTATAGATGAAATGTTATAAAAGCAGGATCTGGTGGAAAATTGATTCTTAGATGTGTGTGTGTGTGTGTGTGTGTGTGTGTGTGTGTGTGTGTGTCATACACTTGTACAGCTCCCTTTATGAGGACTTCCCATAGACGTATTCATTTTTACTGTACAAACTGTATGTTCTATATTCCACCCAATCCCTTCCCCTAAAACCAATGCCCACAGGAAACAATCTGCAGTTTTACAGTTTTAAAATACTTCATCCAAACTCACATGAGATCATTAATCTCTTAAGTCCCAAGGTGTTTTTTACATGCATATTTTATTTTCATTAACTCTTTGCTATTTGGGCTAATTAGAACCTAATTAGAATAAAAACCTAGGTATCATCTTTTAATAGGATGTACTTTTAGAAAAAAAATGATGTCCATATATGTGGACTTGTCCGAATTTACATACAACCCTTTTTCCTGACTACATATAAAGTTTTTGAACATGTTCGCTTCCAGATTTCTTGCAGCGCAGGAATAAATTTCCAAATAAAGCCTGAGAGCGGTCGGTAACTGGTGTAATTTGAACGGGGGTGGGGGTCTGACAATATCGCTCCCAACTCCCAAACGAGCACGCTTATATGTATATATTTGTGTAATTGAGAGGGTGTGATGCTGTGAATTGATAGCTTGATGCTGTCTATGTGTGTGTATGTGTTTGAGTGAGTGAGTGAGTGAGTGAGTGAGTGAGTGAGTGAGTGAGTGAGTGAGTGAAAGAGAGAGAGAGAGAGAGAGAGAGAGAGAGAGCGTGATGCTGTGCATCGCTTGCTTGGTGCTTTGTGTGTGTGTGTGTGTGTGTGTGTGTGTGTGTGTGTGTGTTTATACAGGCTGTCTGGATTCTGTATCATGTAGCTGGGTGGTTTCTGGGGGTTTACGCAACCCATCACTGGGAAACATCCATACACACTCATTCACACACATACACTACAGACAATTTAGCTTACCCAATTCACCTATATCACTTGTTTTTTGACTTGTGGAGGAAATCAGAGCACCTGGAGGAAACCCACGCTAACTTGGGGAGAACATGCAAACTCCACACAGAAATGCCAACTCACCCAGCTGAGGCTTGCACATGAGGTGATTGATTTTTTTATATTAACTTTATCTTATGGGATGATTAATTATTAGCAATCTGTAAATTTTGTTAGTTAACGGTGTGTATTGTGAATTTGGATGCTTATTAGACACCCTAATTTTAACGATTTTTTTTTTCGATTAAAAAAAGATTGATTTTGTGGTGGTAATTCCCAGAAATTTGAGGAGAATTTTACGATTTAAAAAACAATCTGACACAATGACACAAATCATAAAAATAAAGCTTCTTTATTTTGGTCTAGACAAGATATAGAACAGATCTCAATCAAACAGTGGGGATTAAGCCAAAGGAAAGTATATAATTCTTATTTTTATCCACGATCTTACTTTCTCTCAGATTTCACTCCCAGAGGATCTGATATCAGGTACCTCCCTTAGAACATTAGTTAGGGCTTCCCCTACCGTAATACACCTAAAACACGAATAACCGTATAACTTGTCATGGCAGGGAAGAGTTTTCTCTTTTTAACTGCAGAAAAAGAGTTATATGAAAAGATAAATCTATTACGCAGATCATAAAACCAGGCCAGCCATACATGTAAAGCACAAGTAATGTCCTTCAATTCGATGACATCCAGCGGCCGTTATCCTTGAACCAATCTCCACCATTGTAAACTGCTTGCTGATCTGTCTGTTTCATTTGATAGATGTTCATACATAGATGCTCATACATTATTTTGCAGTCTGAGGCACATCAAAAGCACAAAATGCCCAATTCGTGACACAGGATGCCTAATCCAATCTTTGCATTGACTTCACGGGTAAATCACTCGCGTCTTCACTTCATTCGCGTCTGCTTACTGCACAGGCTGCAAAACAATTTCCCCACTCTCAATAAATGTTTGGATTGCGAGAGCGCAGGTGAGGCGTCCTTTTTCGAGAGAGACTCAAATATATCACTTGCGCTGCAAATGCAACATCTAGAAGTCATTTAAAACAATTAATTGCAAAGTAAAATAAATATTACTTGATTATATGGTTCTATATTATATGAGATTATTTAATTTTTTTTGTGATTATTTTGCGTTTAATTAAAAATTTTGCAGGGCCGCAAAACTTTGGGACTTTTTCTTGATTTTGCGTTGGATTAAGCAAGCGCTAAATCACGAAAAACTAGGGGGTCTGGCTTATGTTTGTAATGAGGCAACAGACATATATAGACTAAATAATGTGTTAAATGCACATTTATGCATCGTGTCATATCACTCAGCTCTTATTGTGATATTTATAGTGAAATGATACCGATAAACTTCAGAAACTCATCTGTTTAGTTAAGGTTTATATTAATTTCTGATTTCTAATTTAATTTTTCATATACACTAAATACATCTCTGTCAGCCCCCAAGATTAAATGTAATATAGCTTGTATTTTATCCTCAGCACAACTCAGGAGCAAACTTTCATTTAATTCGCTCACACCTTGTACACTTTAGCTAAAATTAACCTCTCAACCACTTTGGTTGAAATGATTATCGTCTAACAAGGAATCTATACAGTTTTTTTTTATTATTATTTGACAAATAAAGTATGATAATTATGCATGTGTTTAATTCAGAGTACATTATGCTGTATGTGTGTGTGAGTGCATGAGAGCAGGCACAGATACAAGCTGCAACATCAGAGTGAAGCTTATTAATATTCATGAGCATCCCTAATATGGTCAAAACCAAACTTTTAAAATGCAGGGAGCATATAAAACTGGATACATTTTGTGCTTACCTAAGCCACACACCTACTAGATATTAGGGAACAATTGAAAATATTGAGTCAATGCACTCTATGGCATAGTGATATTTTGTCCATTACAGGAATGTATGTTAACCTGTCACATGCCATATAGTTTTTTATTATTATTTATATATTTATAACTCCTCTATCTATTGATCTATTATAAATTAGAAAAAAAGTAGTTTACAGAATTAAACAATATTATAGTTTACTAAAACACAGAACTATAAAATATAAACCTAAAAATAAAATATAAAAAGTATTTCAGAAACTGCTGATTAACTGGGATTTTCACGCACATCCATCTCTAGGGTTTACGGCGAATGATTCTAAAAAAGAGAAATTATCTAGTGAACGGCAGTTCTGTGGGCGCAAATGTCTTGTTGATGTGAGAGGTCAGATGAGAATGGGCAGACCGGTTCGAGCTGATAGAAAGGCGACAGTAACTCAAATAACCACTTGTATGGTTTGCAGAGGAGCCTCTCTGAATGCACAACACGTCCAACCTTGAAGCAGATGGGCTACAGCAGCAGAAGACCACACCAGATGCCACTTCTGTCAAGTAAGATCAGGAAACTGAGGTTACAATTTGCACAGGCTCACCAAAATTGGACAATAGAAGATTGGAAAAACGTTGCCTGGTCTGATGAGTTGATTTCTGCTGCAACATTCAGATGCGAGAGTAAGAAATTGGCATCAACAACATGAAAGCATGGATCCATCCTGCCTTTTGTCAATAATTTAGACTGGTGGTGGGGGTGATGTAATGGTGTGGGGGAAATTTTCTTGGCACACTTTGGGCCAATTAGTACTAATTGAGCATGGTGTCAATGCCACAGCCCACCTGAGTATCGTTGCTGACCATATCCACCCCTTTATGACTACAGTGTACCCATCTTCTATTGGCTACTTCCAGCAGATTAATAACAAACCATGTCATAACGTGTAAATCATCGCAGACTGGTTTCTTGAACATAACAATGATTTTACTATACTCAAATGGCCTCCACATCCACAAGAACTCAATCCAATAAAGCACCTTTGGCTAATATGGCCCCAAATCTCTAAGGAATAGTACCTTGTTGAATTAATGCCACAAAGGATTAAGGCAGTGCTGAAAGCAAACCAGGGTCCAACCAGTACTTGTAAGGTATACCTAATAAAGTGGCCTGTATATTAACTGAAGATATTACCATTATGTCATGTAGGTTCTATAGGTGTATCTCTAGATAGACACATTTAAGTAACAAAGGCATCTCTATGATGACAAAGCAGCTTGCTCATCAATCAGTTCATTTCGGAGGAGTGTCATTTGTGCCATTCATGATCTCCTCCTGTACAATAGCGCTTCTGGAATCAGTATTCAGTTTTGATATTTAGTGCTCCCCGTCTTTCATTAATGAGCAGTGAGATCTCTAAAGCTCATGCTCTCACACTAATCTCACCAGGGACGTCACTGGAGCGGAAAACCAATTCAACAGCCATACATCAGCTTCCACTCTCCCTCGCTTTGCTAACACAATGTCTGGTGTTATTCTAAATGAGAATACATTTTCCCGACACAAATCCCTCTGCTGGAGGATTTGAGGGCCTTTGAGAAACTTCGGCCTTGTGCATCTTTGCTTTTCACTCATTGTATTAGATTAGCGG